ATGCCACTGAGTCATTCACTTAGAAATGGCAAATTTCATGTTATGTGTACTTTATCCCAATAAAAAAAAAAAAAATCTTTATTCTGAGAACAGGTCCATAGGCCTCACCAGACTACCAAAGGTGTCCTGGCACCGACAAGGGTGTAGCATCCCTGGCAGAGGGAGAGCAGCTGAAGATGCTGGAGACAAGGGGCCCCATCAGGGAAGTGGGGACCCTGGGGCCTCCAGAGCTGGCTGGAGGCTCTGGTCCAGGGGGGTAGGTCACTGCTCTGGCTCCCAGAGGCACATACCACAGCGCCCCCTGTTGGCACATCAGCCTCTGGCCGACACCCTCCTCCTACACATACAGCATCACCTTCGCTGTCTCTCCTCATAAAACAGTTTTTAAGTCTCACCATTCAGCTCTCATCTCCTGCCCTGGTCTCAACAGCAGACAGTGCTCTTCACCCCCGAAGGCGCCCTGGGATTCTCCCGCTGATGTCCTGGGAGCTGCTGGGCCTGGGCGGGGGATGTCCCATGCCCAGCTCACTTCTCCCCTGAGGTTCATGCGGACGCTCCCCCTCCGTGCCTTGGGAAGTGAACCTTGGGCCACAGGCGTGGCCAGTAAGCGAAGGATAGGGGCTACTTAACTAAAAAAGAAAACTGCACAAATATTCAGCTGCTCTGGGTGAGACAGAGCAGTCGGCCCGATTTCCCTGGGCTGGCTGCCGGGCTGGGCCCAGGCTCACACATCACCATGGTGTTAGAGCCACGCAGTGTTTCTAGTCACAGGAAAAGAGGAGGAGGTTGCACAGTCTGGTGGCAGACACATGTTGAACTGCTCATCTAGAACATCCCTTCCACCTGAGACATCCCCAGGCCTCCCAGGATGGACCTTCATACCTGAAGTTGTCGATCTGTAAACATTGACCCAGTTCACATCTCCGACAGAAGTGACAGAGAAGGGACTGAAAGAGTAAGCCCCCAATTCTGGAAAATAGTTTTGTTTTTGCCAACAAAAGATAAAGCATAAATGTAAGATGTTGAAAATGAATAATTTAAATCATTTTTGTAGTGAGAAAATGTTCTGTAACATATTTCTAACTGCCAGGACAAACAGGTCTTTAAAAAAAGCTTGACTCTCATGGCACCTTAAGTCATTGTGTCACATAGAAACCCATCATTTACATCATTTCCAGACAATATGGTCTATCCGTTTAACAACAAGCATTTCTTTATCTAATGATTTTCATTTATTGCATTTGTGTTTTAAAAAGAGCATTTTGCCAGCCAAGGCCACATGTGTGGTTGTGCAGGTTGTATACTGTGCAAGGACACCTGTTGAAGAGAGTATCATTCACATCATAGACCCCGAAGATTTGTATCTTTATTACGAGCATTCCCGGCAGATGGCAGTAAACGGTGTTGTTCTAACGAAATCAGGGAAGTAAAGTGTTTGGCAGAAGGGACATCTAGTCTATACAAAGGTACCTATGGGCCAGCAGAGGCCTTGTTGGCATGCATCTGGAGGAAGACAAAAATGGGGATTGGGAAACCTTTTGAACAGCCATTGCAACTCTCTGGGCTCAAGGAGAAGAGAGCCTGAGCTCAGGGAATGGTAGTAGGTGCGGAGAAGGGGGACAAAGATGTGTGATTCAAGAGGCCAGGGAGGGGGAGGGAGGGAGGATTCCCAGGCCTCTGGGAGGAGCTATATGTGGACAGAGCTGCCACCCCCAAGGAAATGATTTGGATTTGGGGATGTGGTAAATTTTATTTACCTGCAGAACGCCCCAGGTGAGGTTGTCCAGGTGACATCACATCAGGACTGGAGGTGCAGATCGAGTGGCATGGGCAAGTGGGAAGCAAGAGCCATGAATGGAAAGGGTTTCCCTGGGAGACTGCATGGCCTGAGCTGACCGGGGAGGGGGTGCCCCAGACCCCTGGGGATTTCATCACCTCGTGGGCAAGTGGGTGAGGAAGCAGGGGCTGAGGAAGGAGACAGTCTTGAAGGGGTGGCCACTCCACACCCTCTGTCCCGACCCTACAGTTACTGTGCTACTTTCCGGCTCCTGTTGGGGGGGGGGGGACAGCCAATGTTGGCTTAGATTGTGGACAAAATGAGAGGACACAACGCTTCCAAGATTATGTGTCTGCTGAGCTTTCCAACATCCGTTTTGGCTACAGAATCCTTTTTTTTTTTTTTTTTTTTTTAACGACCAGAGTCTAAGCTGTATTCCAGATGGTTCCTATTGCTGGAAGTGTGACTTCCGAGAATATAGAAGTCTATAGACTTCCATGGATGTCTCCACCGCTTGACAGAATTATAATCTTCTTACAAAATGTGCTGTAGAAACCCATTTTTCCTGTCGACTGCCAATAGGAGGATAACTGTGTTCTCGAGATCAAACCACCCGAGAATGTAACGAATGTTTATAGTTCATGCACGTATGTGGGTCATAATGACATTTGGAAATATTAATAATAATGAATGTTATTTCAGACATTTAAACCGTGAAGTCCACGTCCCGAGGAATGTTCCGGCCAAATATCCAACAGAGAAGTCCTTGGTCTAGATTTTCGGCTGTGTGTTGAGAAGCTTTTCTCTTTCTAGAACACAAGGCTACCTCTGCTTTTGTGCTAGGGCACAGAATCGAGGTTTTTCTCTCCTATAACTGATTTTGGAAGGCCTAGTCCAGGAGCCTGGGTGCGTGCTGGCTGGGCCTCACCTACCTGCTTCGCGTGGGGCCACCTGTGGAGTCACTGCCCCAAGGCTTTGGCCCTCCTGCCTCGATTCCAGCGGAGTGTCCGTCTGTGACTCCAATGTCTGTGCATCTTCTTTCTGTCAGGCTAAAAATAACCCGGCCTCAGGGGTTCCCGAAGGCCCCAAATCTGTAGGGCTGCCCACTTAGCCCTGCCTCTCCTGCCGACAGCTCATTTGAGGAAGTTGGCAGGATGCTTAGCATCTTCCTCTGAGTGCGGGAGACACAGGCAGGCAAGTGGTAGTCCAAGATGCTAAAATAAGTTCAATTGCTCAGAAGCTTAAGAGTGGGAGGCTCCTTGACCCCCCCCACACACACACACAACCAATCTAGAGAAAGAGGGGAGAGGAGTCCTTCTTCCTCCCTGGTATGGGGACCCCAAGATGTACATCAATAAAAAGCAACTCCTTTTATTGTGCACAATGAGGAGCTACACTTTTTGACCTAGAGTTGGAAAAGCCAGTCTGTTGGTGAAAGCTTTATAATGACATTTCTTTGTGACAAGTATCCTCTCCTAAGGGAAAGAAAGGGTTGGGCAGCAGCCTGAGAGCAGCCAACCAGATGATCTACTGGGGCATGAATTTCAAATACTCCATTCCCGTTTTCCCAACAAGTGTGCTCATACTTCTCAAGCTACCACCATCCCCCAGTCTTTGATTCTGAAAATACGGCCACCATATAAATGGGTTGTTGGTAAACACGATATTCATTGCTTAATAACCTGGAAAAGATGTTGTGAGAATGAATTTGCAGTGATTTAGCACTTTTCATTATGGAAATTCTATATAAATATTTAACTCTAATGCGTATTTTATTCTAATTTTTTGTTAATCACATTTGCTTAGTTAATATGGCATACTTATGCAGTTTTTTTTATTACCATAGATTTTTATGAGTGATGGCAATTTCATGTGCTATTTATTTGAAATTAGGTTGATTGTAAAGACACACAGAACTGCCTGTTAATTTTAGAGCTTAGTATTTATGCCATTGTACCAGCAAATTCCCCCAACACACACACACGCATTTTGCCACCACCACATTATCAGTGAGACAACACATCGCCACATTGTCTCTAGCTTTCTAAGGGAAGGAGTTTTCCTTTAAAGCCTCATTAATACTTTTGAAGGCGGACAAATTTGATTAGCAGAACATCTCTCTGAAATCGGGGGCGAAAGAAAGAGACAGAGGAGGAGGGGGAAAGCAGACAGATGGTATGAACCAATTCTATAGATTTTTTTTAAATTGTGACTAAAAATGATGACATGTAAAATCGTTTCAGGGACATTCCTCTTTACCAGCCCTTTTACATTTACCAGATGACATGTTTGTTAAAGTCAGATCCTGAGGGATAGGTGGAAACCCTCCAAACCCCAAATACCTTCCTTCCAGGCCCTGTAGGTATCCCCATTCCGAATTCACTTTCCAGGTTAAACATTTCCTCACTCCACAGTATGACTTAGTTCTTACCATCCGCTTTGGCATTGAGGGAAGAGGAAAAGGAGATTCTGGAAGGCATCCCAATGGGCCCCAAAGACAGACTCTGCCTATATCACTATTTTCAGAGACAGCCCTGCTCTCCTGAGACGGGAAGAGACTCAGGTCCTGTTAGGGTTCGGTATTGGTCAGAATTAACTGTTCCTGACTGTGGCTTAAACAGGAGAGTTTGCTTCTCTCTCATACAAAGAAGTTATAGACGACAGTCCAGGAGTAAGGACAGCCCAGTTGTGCGCCTCCACCGTCATAAGAGACTCCAGTTCCTTCTATCTTGTTGTTCTTTGGCCAAATTCCAGCCATCATGTCCTCCTCGGTCTGCCAGCAGAAAGGGAAGAAGGGCACAGCCTGCCATTGATGGACACTTCCCAGAAGTGCCCTACAGTATGCCACCCGCCTCTTGTTGGTCAGAATTTAGTCATGTGACCACAGTGATCAACAAGGCAGATTGGGAAATACGCTTCCCTCCTGTGATGATGGGCTCAACCAAAAACTCAGAGGTCCAAATACTAAGGATGATTGGGGAGAATGTTAATGTCAGAGGCCACTAGAAGCTGGCCACGGGATCATAGAACAGGTCTTGCTAAAACATCTTACTCATCTGTAACCTGAGTTCTTTCTCAGCTTTCTGGATTTCTTTCCAGGCCCGGGCATAAAACTTACAAACGAATAAATGTGATCAAATTCAAAGGCCATTTCCAAAGAAAAGCTCTAGGAAGCTCAGACTCCACTCTGTGATTGCCTATTAACTCCCTATTGTGATTTCAGCGGAAATTCTAGAACTGGCTGGGAACGCCGCAAGGGACAACAAGAAGGCCCGGATAGCACCAAGACACATCCTGCTGGCAGTTGCCAATGACGAGGAGCTCAATCAGGTATGTCTGCCTGAAGCATTGCGACAAGCCACAGAATGGGTTTGCCAGACACACTATTACACGTGGACCCGGTTGGCTATAAATCATTCCTGCTACAGTTCCCAAGCATATTAATACAAAAAAAAATTCAGATCATATAAGAGAAGAATAAATTTGATAGCTATGTCATTCAGATAGAAAATTCCCTCTGGAATAGACCCGTTATATATCCTGGGTCTTGCCAGACCTTCTTTTCCTCTCTAAAAGTGAGCTTTGTGTGTGACTAGGGAAGCTGCAGTGCGTAGCTGTTATTCACGGTTTCTTCACCCAAATTTTGCTGACGATTTATTTGATGAGGGCAGAAGAATCTTCTTCATATTATAGAATTAACTCCCAAGTGCAAATGCCTCCCCCAGGAAATGCTAGATGGATGGTAGATAGTATAAGAATTTTTATTCTAATTTTTTTCTTCTCACATTGTGTGTGGCCAACACTCAGTTCTTATTTCCAGTCCATCATGGACTAAAATTTCTAAAGATACAATAAAAACTAATTGCTGAACAGCCCCGGTGGCCCAGTGGTTCAGTGCCACCTTCAGCCCAGGGCGTGATCCTGGAGACCCAGGATCGAGTCCCGTGTCGGGCTCCCTGCATGGAGCCTGCTTCTCCCTCTGCCTTTGTCTCTGCCTCTCTCTCTCTCTGTGTCTCTCATGAATAAATAAATAAAATCTTTAAAAAAAAAAAAAAACTAATTGCTAGACAAATGTTAAAAAACAAAAACAAAAATTTTAAAAAACAAAACATGCAATCCCAAACCAAAATGTTTTGCTATTTGATCCAATAGGTAATACAATACCTCTGTCAGTTTGCAAGGACTCTTCCTTGCAATTTCTGTATTTCTCTTGTCTTGGACAGTCACTAACTATCCGTGGATCAGCCTTGGATGCAGCCTTGGATCATACTTGGAGAACCCACACTGCTTCGGGGTGTGCAGACTAGACTAACGTAGTAGTACGTCGATTATTCACAAAATGAACATTAATGGAGAGCCGCATTGGTCAAACATATTTTACTGATGGGATGTGTGATCAAAAGAGTGTGGAGACCACTGGTCTGTTGCTAACTGGGGCTAGCCTTAGTGTTGACCTTTGAACCCAGTTTCATCAAGCTGTACTCCCCACTTGTGTAGCTCTTTATCCTCTGTTATGTCCGGAATTCCACAGCCCTGGAAACATCCCCGGCCTCAGCCTCTATACCCCTTCATCGTGCCTCTCTTGTTTTGCTTTCTGTATGAGGCCGTGGGATGCCTGGATACCTACAGAGACACGCTCTACCAGGGAAACAGGAAAGCCAATTAAACCACCCATCATGCAGTGTCTTTGGGAAAGCAAAGACCAGACTTAACACTTGTTTTGCCATCAGTTTGAACTGTAGTTAAGTCCAGAACCAGCAAGCTCTTTGCTGCCTTAGCTCATGCGTTTCTCTCTTTAGCTGCTTAAAGGAGTGACCATCGCCAGTGGAGGTGTCCTGCCCAGAATTCACCCCGAACTGCTGGCCAAAAAGCGAGGGACCAAAGGGAAGTCGGAGGCTATCCTCTCCCCTCCCCCTGAGAAAAGGGGAAGGAAGGCGGCATCAGGCAAGAAGGGAGGCAAGAAATCTAAGGCTGCCAAACCACGGACATCCAAAAAGGTGAGCCCAGGTTGCCTGTGTGAGCCAGGGACTCAGACAACAGAAAGTTGAAAGATCAGAAGATGAGGTTGTGGCCAGCATTGCTGATGAGCTGGGGACTCTGTGCGCTGGGAAAAAATGGCAAAGGACCTCTGGGACGAGAGCTTAAATCACCCAGCAGAGTCTACTAGAGGTTTCCAAACCCAAAACACGAGTGGTCTTCATGTTTCCAGAGGCTTCCACTGCCCCCATCAAAATCTTAGGTGAGAGATGATAGCCTGGAGCCCTTCTTCATTTCTCTTGAGAGCTCCACATTGCACACAAAAACATTTCTGTCTCCCACAGACTGTGTGTCTCCCACAGATGGTCACTGGGTTCAGCCAGTGGGTTGTGGATAGCCCGATGTGCTAAGTAGCTGTAGCTCGGAGATGCCATTTGCAGAGGAGTACTTTCATATGCTGCCCAGTACAATAACCACTAGCCACATGTGGCTTTTTAATTTGAATTCATTAAAACTAAATCAGATTAACTACTAAGTTCATTGGTTACATCACCCCCATTTCAAGGGCTCAAGAGGCATAGGACATTTCCATGATCACAGAAAGTTCTATCAGACAGCGCTGCTTTGGAGGTTGTCAAATGCCCCTTCTACAGACCTCTGTGATAACACAAAAGATTTACAAGAGTTCACTCCACTTCCTTTGGGTCCCAAGGAAATTCTGGGGAGAAGGGAGGTTGAATGGTAGGCTAAGAATAACCCCTCTTGGTTCTGATGCTTGCCATCATAAGCTGCGGGCTTTGCAAAAAAAAAAAAAAAAAAAAAAAAAAAAACAAGAATAACGTACCCGTGTCCAGGTCTGAGTGAGGAATACAGGTACCTGTGAGCCTCTTTAACACTCTTTATTTGGGGTGGCACACCTTTATTTCCCTCGTGTTGCTGTGCCTTGCTTCCCTCCATCGAGAAGAGCAGAACTTAACACCTAACCACTTCCTTTCACATCCAAGGTGGTGGTAGCCGTAGGAAGAACTTAATAAAGCCACTTTGGGCTTTTTCTGGATTATTTTCCATCTCTCCTTCTGATTTCTACCAACAGTCCAAACCAAAGGACAGCGATAAAGAAGGAACTTCAAATTCCACCTCTGAAGATGGGCCAGGGGATGGATTCACCATTCTGTCTTCTAAGAGCCTTGTTCTAGGGCAGAAGGTAATAAAGACAATTGTGATGTGCTGTGGTAAAAACACTATTGCATTTTTACAACCTACTGTTTGCGAGCAATGATGCTTCCTTCTTCCCTTGCTCCCCTAATACAACTCTCACCCGGGTCTTGAATTATTCATGTTTAGACTAAAGAGCTATGACAGTGTCTACGTTGTGAGAATCAACAAGCTCTTTAGTGCCAAGAATTATTCATGCTGACATCGATCAGACAAAGGTAGGCATAGAGAACCTTCCTGGTCAGGTGATAGAATGGCATCATTGCCAGGAACACCCTGTACACCCCTCATTCCTGGGCCCACCCAAAACATCCTTAGCTAACTTTCTCAAACAGCCCTGGGAGGCCAGCCTGCCATGGTTCTTCGATGTGATTTATCAAAGAAAGAAAAATAGAAATATATGTTTCCTGAACATCTCCAGTGTTAGAAATGAATTATTTGCCAATAACTCAGTCTACTTGCCTTTCTAGACTGCAGAAAGAAAACAAGCAGGGCTTTACATCTGAACAGCCTGCAGCAGGCCAGACAGACATGCAAATAATTCATTCCCGCTAGCATAAAGTTTACAGAACAATTCATCTACCACATTAAATGGGGCTGAAGTAAGACATTCAGAGAAGCAGTCAGTGAATCGCATCCTTGGTAGCTGAGCATTTGCAGCCTGGTAACAGGATACACCTCTACTGAAGCAATCGGGAAGCGTGTTACAGAAGCGTATGCATGGGGCCGGCTCCTAATTTTTCACTGACGAAAAGCATGTTCCCCAAGGGGCTGGCCACAGTTGCATGACGATTAGCTTTTTCTCCCTTACCTAGGGGAAGGTGACTGTCGAGCTCACAGGGGAGACGATGCAAAATGCCCTGCATTCCGCTCAGCTGTGAGCATGCAGGGCAGCATTTCACAGGTGTAGCTCCAAGAATGTGATCCCCAATATGCAAGGTGGCCCAACGTAGGTAGGTCGGAATCCAGGAGCCCATCACTTATCCTGAGTGAGGTCCATCGGCCACACGTCCCTGCCACCAGAGGTCTGTGCTACTCTGGGAAGAATGTAGGGTGCTGAGGGGAGGGTGGAGGGCCAGCCTGGTTTCCCTAGTAGGAGCCGCTCTGACCGTATGTCACCCCACACCGAGGCCCCCCGGATTGGGAGATGGAAACGTAGCTCTAGAGAAGGGAAGAAGAGGGGAGGGCCCATTCCTGCTCCTGGAAGAAGAGGCTGGTTGGTTGCGTGCTGCTGGCATCATGGTGGACATCAAATCCACTGAGCTCAGAAGAGCCCACTGAAGCCCAAACAACAGGCAAACTTGAGATGGTTGCTCTATACCACAAGCCTTTATGTGGACATTCGCTATCAATAATTGAGAGAATTAGCAGATGTGAGGTAAAATGTGAAGCTTTTTAATTGGATTTGCTCTTTCCCAACCCTCTCCATCTTTCCTCCCTGACGCAGCTGTCCCTGACACAGAGTGACATCAGCCATATTGGCTCCATGAGAGTGGAGGGCATTGTCCACCCCACCACAGCCGAAATTGACCTCAAGGAAGATATAGGTAAGGTCCTGAGACAGGTAGGGTGCCAGAGAGTGGCCCACTGTTTGGGCAAGTTCTCCTGAAGTTGGTCATTGTCACAGAGATTCTCTGCTTGGGGGACCATGTCACACTCTGTATGTCACCAAACAGCATTACTAGAAAACAACTGATTTCATTTCTAATCTGCACATATTTCCAAAATGTTTATTGAAGGATTATATAAAAACAGATCATTAGTGCACATCTTGATAACTTTTCCTCTAAGTGAACACAGCTGTGTAACGGGCACCTTGATGACGAAGCAGAACCTCACCGGCGCCCCAGAATGCCCTCTTCCTGCCCCATCCCAGTCCCCAATCCCTCCAAGCATAACCCCTGTCCTGTCTCCTCCCAGCACAGATGGCTGTCCTCTGGGATTTTATATAAATGACATCATGCAGTGCGTCTTCTTAGGTGTCTTTTGCTTAACTTTGTAAAATCCACCCCCAGCGTTGGGCGTGACTGTCGTCCGTTCCTCTTCTTGGCCATGTGGTATCCCACTGTAGGAATATATGGCAGTGTGCTGACCCTTCCACCGCTGATGGCGTTCACAGAATTTCTAGGTTGGGCCAGAAGGAGTAGTGCTGCTGTAACCGTCACTGTACATTTTCGGGGTAAACCTCCATGTTTATTTTGAGCTTAAAAATTAAGAACGCCTTTGGTGAAAAGGAAATGGACATCTGGGTGAAGTTGTCTGTAAAGCTCTGCACTGAGTCACTTTACGGGGGGGCGGGGTGCCACCTGTCCCACGGGGGTGGAGGGAGCTGGTCCGGGCTAGCTAGGTGGAAGTATTGGGGAGCATAAGCTATGGAGGGCACTAGACACAATAGCACACTAGAGGGGCACCATCCTATCCATTTTTTTTACAAGACGGAAGTGCCTTAAACTCTCATCGCAAAAGTAAAGCGAGCAAAGAAAGGGCCTTGTCCCTGGGATGCTGGGCTTGCTTCTGAGGTAAGGGAGATGCTAGTAGCTCAGCCTCGGCTGGCAGCACCGGGCCCCCCCCCCCCCCACGGTTTCCTCTGTGGCATCAGAGGCCTCTTGCATCAGGAAAGCAATCAAGATGTGTTTTCATTTTTGTTTTAAGTGGTGATAAGGTAGAAAGAACACAGGTATTGGAGCAAAAACTCAGGCTCAGATCCCAGCAGTGGGGCTTCTGGAGTCGGGATGGGTCTGTGTCTGGATTTTAGACATCACCTCTGAGCTGTGTGACTTGGGGCAGGTTTCTTAAGCTCTCTGAACCTCAGTTCCCTCCCCTGTGAGGACAGCAATAGCACCTGTGTCTTAGCGGTGCTGTGAAGACTAAGTAGGGTAACACACGGATGAGGCTTAGTGCTGAGCACAGGCCCGCTGTGATCACAACCTGAGCCAAAATCAAGAGGCAGATGCCTAACAGACTGCACCACCCAGGCGCCCCTCTGATTTATTTCTTTTTGAAAGCATTGTGTGCTACTACAGAAGAGTTCGAGCGTGCACAGAAATAGCAGAAGAGGGACACCTGGATGGCTCAGTGGTTGAACGTCTGTCTTTGGCTCAGGTCATGATCCTGGGGTCTGGGATCGAGTCCTGCATCAGGCTCCCCATAGGGAGCCTGCTTCTCCCTCTACCTGTGTCTCTGCCTCTCTCTGTGTGTCTTTCATGAATAAATAAATAATAAATCTTGAAAAGAAAAAAGAAATAGCAGAGGAGCATGACGAAACCCTACACATTCTGTTGCAAGCTTATCAACCCATGACGGAGTCCTCTTCAGTGCCACCCTGCCCACAGTCCTCCAGACCTCACACCATCATATCTGTGGATATTTCAGAATGATAAGGGCTAGTTTTTGGCAGCATCACCACAATACCATTATCACAACTGGAATAAGTCATGTCATCAAATACCAGTCACTATTCAAATTTCAGTCATGTCATAAATATAATTTTTTTTAATGTATTTGATTCAGGATCCAAAGAAGTCCACACCCTGCAACTGGTTGATAAGTCTCTTAGAACCCAGAGGTTCCTCTTTCATATCTTTCCCTCCTTTCTCTCTCTGTCTCTCTGTCTCTCTCTCTCTCTCTCTCTCTCTCTCTCTCTTCAATTCATTTTGTTAAGGAAGCTGGGCCGTTTAGCTGTAGGGTTTCCCAAGTCTGGATTTCATTGACTGCCTCCTCCTGATTCCATTAAACACGTTTCTCCTCTGTTTTTCTTATAAATTGGTAGTTGGATCGAGAGTCTTAATGAGATTCAAGGCTCAAAAAGTTTTGGCAAGACTCCCTGGTCAGCGATGGAATGTTCTCCCATTAGGAGGCACATGATGCCCGGTTGTCTCTCACTGACGCTCCTTGTCTGAGTTTGTTTGTTAGGGGTGGTGTGAGGTGGGGGCTGTACCCTAATTCTAGCCCTCCTTCCTTTCTTCACTGGAATGCTTCCACAGAGACAAACTCCCTTCATCAACACTCCAGGTTGCTTTATTCTTGGAAGTCTTCAGGGAAGAGTGTGGGCGCACCTTGCCTTCCACACGCTCCCACCTGGCCCCTTACACCTGCTTCCCTGCTTCTCCACGTGAATGGGGCTGCTGGCTGCGGCTCCTGGCCTTCTCCAGGCTTCTGTGACCCAGCAGATCAGCACTGGCCAGGAGCCTGAGGGCCAGAAAGAAGACTTTCTTTTTTAAGATTTTATTTGTTTATTCATGAGAGACACAGAAAGAGGCAGAGACACAGGCAGAGGGAGAAGCAGGCTCCATGCAGGGAGCTCGATGCGGAACTTGATCCCGGGACCCCAGGATCACACCCTGAGCCGAAGGCAGCTGCTCAACCACTGAGCCACCTGGGTGCCCCCAGAAAAGAGACTTGAAGGCCCGAGATTACCATTTCCAAATCATGTCACTGAACCCAAGCACATTCGTGAAGAAATTCCCTCCCATTCCCACCCCCAGGGAAGATTGACTGCTAATAGACGGGGTCCACAATCACCTGCAGGACGTCCTGTGGCTCTCCAAATACACTAAAGTGTCCCAGGGGGGAGGGAGAAGCTCCTTACCCAGGTCCCAGGGAAGCCCTTGAGCTGAATAATAACCACCACCATAATAGCTATGAAGAGGGAGACTGGTCCCAGGTAGCCAGATCACCACATTCATTAGAAGATGAAAGCACTTGGGGAGAGAGACCTCATCCTGCACCCGAGAGCAGCAGCCATCTAGTATAGACAAGATGCCCGTATGTCGCTCAGAGGCATGAGGACCCCCGGTGCGCAGACATGGGGTCCCTGTTGGCCAGAGACGGAGTCCCGCCATCCCCTGGGGGCTCCACTTGGGCCTCTGTAGAAGCACAACCCTGAAATCTCAAGTAGAGAATTGTCATGACATCAGAGACTCAAGGGATCTCCCATCAGGAAGGTCCTTAGAGTTTAGCCTCTCAAATTTGCATTTTTCCATTGAAAACCAAGGCCAGGGTTGGAGGAACACCATCGCACGCTGCCCTGGGCCTGTGTGTGTCCTCTGACCCCAAGACTTTCCACACATAGTTGGTGAGCTGGGCATAGGACCTTAGGGCTCTCCACCCAGAGGGTCCTGCTGAGTCGTGTGTCACCTCGGGCCTAGGACCAGGCTCAGGACCTGGTGACAAGAGGCAGGTTGCAGGGTCTGTGAGCAGTCACTGCCTTCAAATCACCCAGACACTGAATTTAACCAACCCCTTGTGGGGACTTAACTCAGAGATGAGAACACTGGAGCCCCAATTTTTTTTTTAAGTTCACCTTTAATACACAGCATAGGAAATGACGTAGGCAGTGGTATTACAACTGCGCCGTATGGTGACAGATGGTAGCTACCCTGGTGGTGAGCACAGCGTAGTGTGTAGAGCACAGCATAGCGTTGTCCGATCACTATGTTGTACACCTGAACCTAATGTAACACTGTGTGTCAACTGTACTTGGATTTTTAAAAATCACCTTTAGGACTCATGTCCTGAGACTGCTTATGACCAAATCACTCCCTGAAAAGGTCCTTTAAAAGAGTTTGCTATAGGGGCACCTGAGTGGCTCAGTCTGTTAAGTGTTTGACTCTGGTCATAATCTCAGGGTTGTGGGATCGAGCCCCACGTCAGGGTCTGCGCTCAGTAAGGAGTCTACTTGAGATTCTCTCTCCTTCTCCCTCTGCCCCTTCCCCTGTGTGTGCTCACTCTCTCTCTTCCTCTCTCCCTCTCTCTCTCAAATAAATAAATAAAATATTTAGGGGAAAAAAGGAGTTTGCTAGAATCCAAGTCCTGCGGGACAGAAGCCCAGAGACCCCTGCGGGCAGTGACCAGGGGCAGCAAGGGTTCCAATTGCAAAATGTGACTCCTCCTTCCCATGTGTGGGTTTGTCTGTGGCCTATGAAAACTGTGTGAAGCAGTGTAACTAGTGACTCTGGAAAGGACCACGGCAATGGCTTCTCCTGTTCTCCACAGGGAAGGCCTTGGAAAAGGCGGGCGGCAAAGAGTTCTTGGAAACAGTAAAGGAGCTTCGCAAATCCCAAGGCCCTTTGGAAGTTGCTGAAGGTAGGTGTGGCGGTGGGCCGTGTTCCCAGCACAGCCTCGGCACCGTCCCCGCCAGCGTCAGCCGCTTCACGCACCATCATTGTGCCAAGCAAGATACACCACGGCCAATGAGTTAACTTGAGCAGGCCTGTGTAGACCACTCAACACACTCTGGGGACGACCAAGTGTCTGGATAGTTGTCAGTTTGCATCAAGTCACCCAGAGATGAAGCAACTGGGTTAGCTTCCACTCATCATGTTGTCCTACCATCACCACCATGAGTCTAGAGCTCTTCTGGGTGTCTCCCGAAAACACCCCTCTCTCCTCCCCGGCCCCTGGTGACCCCCAGCCCTCCTTCCGCCTCTGTAGATGTGCCTGTCCAGGACATGGCACGTGAACAGGATCATAGGCTCTGTGACCTTTGCTGTCTGGCTTCCCTCACTTCATATAATCTTCTCAAGGTCCACCCGTACCAGAGCATGCATTAGTGCTTTGTTCCTTTTTTGTGGTTGAATAATATTCTGTTTTGTTTATCCATTCATCAGTTGGGTTGTTTCCCGACTGCTGCACGTCTGGCTGTTGCAAATCGAGTGGCTGTGAACATTGGTGCACAAAGTTGTGTTACAAACAGTCCCTAGGGCAGCCCGGGTGGCTTCAGTTCAGGGCGTGATCCCAGAGACCCAGGATCGAGTCCCACGTCGGGCTCCCTGCATGGAGCCTGCTTCTCCCTCTGCCTGTGTCTCTGCCTCTCTCTCTCTCTCTCTGTCTCGCATGAATAAATAAATAAAATCTTAAAAAAAAAAAAAAAACACAGTCCCTAGTGGCCTCAGGCTTCCCAAACTGCCCAGGCCCCCAGAGCGAGGCCAGGACCCCTGCCACAGCCGGTTCCTTGAGGGTCACGGAACCCCAGCTCGGCGAGGGTGGCTTGGGGGAAGCAGGGTTCACCGGAGAACAGCAAGGGGCTCAGACCAAAGTGCTCGGGTGGGCCTGGGGGAGTAGATAGGAGTCTGAACTGGGACAAGGAGACAAGGCTGGCGTAACTAAACTGCACAGCCCATTTTGAACCCCCGCTCCCACCGGGGGCTCCTTGGGTAGGGAGGGGTGACCAGAAGACAGTCCCTGACCCTGGGGATGTGCAACCAAGTAGTGCAGCGCTTTGCCATCTACAGAGGACCCTCACCCACACGTGCACACAGGCGCTGTGCCAGACCCACCGAGCCAGGACCCTGGGGGCCCCCCGGGTGGGGGCGGCGGGGCCCGTGTGTCCACCTGTTGAAAGCTGTCCTATCCTTTTCCTATCCCTGCTGTAACGAGTCACAGTGTTACGAACACTACAGTTGGCAGGACTGGCTCCTCCCTTCCTCCCTCCCAGCTTCTGGGCTGTGCCGCTCCCTGGCTCTGTGCTCACATTGCCTTCTCCTACCCTTAGCCTTCCTACCCGCCCCCCTCTCACCCCGCTCAGAAGGACCCAGGTGATTCCATTGAGGGCACACCCAGATCACCCAGGGTGATCTCCCCGTCTCACAATCCTTCACTAAAACACCTCCGCCAAGTCCCGTTTGCTATGTGAGGTAAGGCTCCCGGGTCCCAGGGATCTGGACGGAGTCCCCAGGGATCTGGGGTCCTCCCGGGTCCCAGGGATCTGGACGAGGGCCATTCCTCAGCTGCCAGAGATGATTCTGACGGGTCCCCTTCACTGGGAACCATGGTCAGCAGGTGACAGCCACGTGCCACCACATGAGCCTTGAACGCGCACCTGTCCAAAGCCGGTGCCCACTGCCCAAAGCAATCCCGACAGGGTTCCTGCTCTTTGCCGGGCGTCTGGTCCCATCAGAAGCACAGGACCGTGCCCCGCTTCCCCATTCACAGCATCCGGGGGGCCTCCACGAGGTTCGGCCTGTAACCCCCGGCGGGAGACACAGGTGTAGGAAGTAACCCGCAGTGTTTCTCTCCTGTCCCAGCCGCTGTCAGCCAATCCAGCGGACTTGCAGCCAAATTTGTCATCCACTGTCACATCCCTCAGTGGGGCTCCGACAAATGTGAAGAACAGCTGGAAGAGACCATCAAAAACTGCCTGTCGGCGGCGGAGGACAAAAAGCTCAAGTCTGTGGCATTCCCACCATTCCCCAGCGGCAGGTAAGATGCGCTTCTTTGGGTGGCCGGGGAGGCGGGGGGCTCTTCCCCAGCCCGCTCCCTCGGGCCTGCTTCTCTCCTGCGTATTCACAGCCAGGCTGGCCCTTCCAGGAGACGCGACCCAGGGCTGCCGGCGCAGCCAAGCAAGGTTGACCAGGCTGCCAGCCAGTTAAGCATCTGGTTCTTGATCCCAGCTCAGGTCGCCATCTCAGGGTCGGTCATGAGTTCAAGCCTCACGTTGGGCTCCAGGCTAGTGGAGGAGACTACTCAAGAGAAAAGGAAATACCAGGCTCAAAGGCCTTGCACCTTGAAGTGTAGCCCGTGGACCAGCCGTGGTGACCCCTCTGTGTTAGGATGTCAGAGCTTGGCCTCTCAGACTGCACCCCAGAACTACCGCCTCAGAATCCCCAGGGGGCTCGTGTGGGGCTCGGGTGATGGGGAGGGGAGCCTGGAGGCTGAGCCCGACAGACCACCCAGAGGAGCGACAGGTTCTTGCCAAAGGTCTGTTTTGGGAGTCAGAAGTGTCTGTTCTAATGGTCACAGACCCCAGCGGGGTGCGGGAACAGCAGCAGGTAGGCAATGAGGTTACCTGTCCTCACAGGTAGCCTGTCTTCTCACATCACACTCGTCGTCGAAGCAAGCTATTGCTTCAATTTTGAACACCCTCTCTCTTAAGAGATGCCCCTCTGGGGGATCCCCAGGTGGCTCAGTGGTTTGGCGCTGCCTTCGGCCCAGGGTGTAATCCTGGAGACCCGGGATCGAGTCCCACGTCGGGCTCCCTGCATGGAACCTGCTTCTCCCTCCGCCTGTATCTCTGCCTCTCTCTCTCTGTCTCTCATGAATAAATAAAATCTTAAAAGAGATGCCCCTCTGTAACGTAGATGGGAGTCACATACTAGAGCCATTCTGTTACGGTCGGGTCACAGGAAGGCTGAGGGAGAAATCGTGAGGCCTGGCCTCCTGCCATAACCCCACCTCAACCTGAGCAAGCAGCACCGGGTCTCCACGGCCGGGCCCAGAGGCACGGTGGGCTGAAGCCCTCGCGTAGCCGGGCCCACGTGTTGTGACGTCCTGAGCTGGGGCGCTACATCCGAGTGAGAATCCCTGTCAGGCAGGCTCATCCCGCACCCGCCTGAGGGGGCTTCGTGGCTGACCCCCAAATGTCTAGGATGGCTGTGTCCCCGGAGGCTAATGCCATGGCCCAGCCTGGAGGCCACCTCCATCTCAGCTTGGTGCTTGGGGCCCTGCCCAGAGTCCCCCATACTCGAGTTACACCTGCATGTCCACACAGGCTAGTGAGAGGGAACTAGTGAGTGCAGAAGAGTTAAGAAATGTACTTTCGAGCACATATGTGTGCCCTTTCACAAGCAACCTGACAATGCACGGTGGTTTTGAGGGAGCTAATAAAACCTAGCTGTGCTTTTTTGAATACCAGGTATTTCAAATGCTGAGTTGGTAGTGGTTTTAAAGCCCGCCTCGACTTGGGGCAGGTGACATCGACTCACCCAAGCATGAGGCACTGCTCGCAGGCCAGCTCTCTGACTTTGCTGAACGCTTTGTGCCATGCTGAGTCAGCGTGGCTCTTGTAAAGTGGGGCCAGCGTCTCCTGCCCGCCCCCTCCCAGGCTGTTCCTCTGACTAGGGTCAAAGGAGATGATGTACGTGGCCCAGCCTGCACACAGCGAGACCCCATGAGTTGGAAACAAAAGGCGTGGTGCCAAGATAAGTAGGCATCGCATTGACCCCTACCCCAGGCTGAGGGCAAAGTGATCCCACGGGTCCTGGGAACCAAAGTGACATCAGCTCTTTTTTTTCCTCTGGCACAGAAACTGCTTCCCCAAACAGACGGCAGCCCAGGTGACCCTCAAAGCCATCTCGGCCCACTTTGACGATTCGAGCACATCCTCACTGAAGAATGTCTACTTCCTGCTCTTTGACAGCGAGAGCATCGGCATCTACGTGCAGGAGATGGCCAAGCTCGATGCCAAGTAGCCACCCCCTGCCCGGCCGCGCTTGCCGACGGGAATCGGAGAAGGATCGAAGTCACAGGAGTGGGGGTTTATTTTTTAAAAGGAGAGAGGAAGGGTGACAGCAGGGGAGCCGAGGGCAGCTGGCAGGGCAGCGGGTCACGGAGGCCGCCGGCGCAGGTCCTGCCCACGGAAGGAGCCCTCTGCATTTTATATTCTCGTTTCAGAGCCTCAGTCTGTAATTACCCAGGTCTCCACAAGGGGTTTCTTTCCATGTGTTTTCTTCCTGTTGTTTTAGAACTTTTTAAAAAAAAAGAAACAGACTTCGTTTTAGATTTATAGCATTGACTTTTACACACACACAAAAAAAATCCTTTCGAAATTCTTAATACCTTGTTTCTCCTTCTTGCGAGGGAAGAGGGCGTAAAAGTGACTTGGGCTTTGTTGGCTGTCTGTGTTCAGTGGTGGAGAGAAGAAACCGAGAAAGGTGTCTCACTGGTGCTTTCCTTTCCTGTTTTACTGCCCCCACCCCTACCCCATGGCATCTGTATCTACCCCTAAAAAGATTTCACTTCAGGCTTTTGTTTTGTTTTGTTTTTTTTAAAGAAAAAGAAAATGAAAGGAAAAAAAAAAAAACCCAGAAGATCCAGTGTCTTTCTTACAATATAGTCTTTTATTGCAACATTTTCCTCAGTTTGGAGAACTGTGTCCCCATGGATGGACGCTTGTAAAACGTTACAAACAGAACAATGGGCTGAGCCTCCCACCCTGCTAGGCCCCAAGGTCAGACAGCACGGAATGGCCTGCGCCTCTCAGGTGGCAGCAGGTCCTATTTCCAGAAGGGGAGCCTGGTTGGCCTTGGTCCACAGGAAGGGAGTCCTGGGTGAGGCCTCCAGTGGGGCAGCCATCCTATGGGGGAGAGGCACAGGTCTCACGTAGGCCCAGGGAACAAATGGAACCAACCTGGGCCACAACCCAGACAGCAGCTCAGAGAGGCTGGTGTCCCCAGGACTCTGGCCACGTGCCCAGGGGCCATCATCAAAGGTGAGCAGGGCCTGCATTTACTCAGACGAAATCACCAACCACTTCCACTACGAGGTTTAAGCTGTCTTCCAAAACAGACTCCCTCTGATTGAGGTGCTCTCCCGGATAGAGGAGTCGCTTATGTACCTTCACACGGCCAGAGGCAGGCATTGCTGCACGAAGAGCTTCACCTGCTGAGCCCGCTCTGCTCCCTCAATGGGAGCCCAATGGCAACCCCCCCAAGGGTCACGTTAGCTCAGCTGCCTCTCCTGAACATCTCCAGCGGCTGGTAGGCCAGGCTGCAGGCTTAACCTGATAGCTTTGTAAAACCTCACTGTCTGTTAGGACGGGCTAACTGGGCGGGGAGTTTACCTAACTCTTTCTTCTTAAATGTAACCTGTGGTGTATTAATCAGGACCTAGAAATGGAAATACAGAAAGCATCCTGAACATGAAAGACTGGAGGGACTAACAGTTTGAAATCAGGCTCCACCTAACACCTGGGTGTTGCAGAATGCATGGGCTTCCCCACCCATGACGTGATGGGAGAGGCTTGGGGTGCAGGTCATCTCTGCCCCAGCTCCCCGTCTTTAGCTGGTCTCACCATGCAGGCTCCCCCTCCTGCCCTGACAGGACACCAGCCACCAGGAGACCCTGCCCTCTCCTGCTCTCCTGAATGCCAACACGTGTGCACACACACGCACACGTGCACACGCATGAGGACCCTGGGGGAGAGAAGGCGGGCTATTCCCTCCCCAGCAGGCAGACCTCGCCAAACCCAGAAAGAATCCTCTAGAGGGGGTCATTGTGCAATGGCTCTCTCCCTCTCCCAGTTTTGGTTTTCTGCAAGTTGTGTTTCTGATCAGTACATCCCTGGCTGGCATCTCAGTCCAGGAAGAGGACGTTTGCCCTTGGGCATTCCTCAGGCGGGGCCCACCTGTCAAGCAATCTCAGTGCACTAGAGGCAGTACCTGTCTCCCGCCCAGCTCCGCTTCAAGGTGGAGACTGTCGCATGGTCTTCCAGCTGGAGGAGACGAACAGGTCCCGGCTCTTGGCCAGCCGCACCATGAGCCGCCCCACATAGAAGCCACTGATCTGGCCCACGCCGTCATTTCTCCCCATGGCCAGGAGGAATGTCAGTGCACCTGTGGAGCAGACACATGTGCACAAACCAGACTCCCGCTCCCCACTCGTGGGCCTACAATTCCCTGAGCACAAACTCACCCGGGACCTTTGGTCTGAGGACAGGGAAACGCTTAAGACTTTTAGGAAGATGGGTGAGTCCCTGATTTATTTTTAAAGAGTTCCAGAGGGGGATCCCCAGGTGCTCAGCAGTTTGGTGCCTGCCTTCGGCCCAGGGCGTGATCCTGGAGGCTCGGGATCGAGTCCCACATCGGGCTCCCTGCATGGAGCCTGCTTCTCCCTCTGCCTGTGTCTCTGCCTCTGTGTGTGTGTGTGTGTGTGTGTGTGTGTGTGTGTGTGTGTCTCATGAATAAATAAAATTTTTTTTTAAAATTAAAAATAAAATAAAGAGTTCCAGAGGGATATTTTCCATCACCAGCTCTGAGAGCTTGTTCTCGCGGCCACTCATCTTAGAGCCCCCAAATGCTTCGCCATGTCTAACCCAGCTCTCTTAAAACAGAAGTACAAGGGGCTTCCTTACCTGGCTTATAGGCCTTGAGGGGCCTCTGTTTCCTGGAGTTGACAATGTTGGTCACGGCGACGCTGGCATGGAGGCCGGCGTGATAGGCCATTTTGGGCTCCTTCACGTCCGCACAGTCGCCAATGGCGTAGATGTGACTGTAGCCCTCCACCTGGAGGTACTCGTTCACTCTCAGAGCGCCATTGCTGGCCAGGTGACCATCTGTCGGGCAAAGCCAACCCTGAAATCCTGTTAAGTGGCCACTGGAACATGGAGAAGATGACCCTCTGGTGTTGGCTGAACCATCTTCCAAAAGCATATCCTCAAGGGCCAAACATCCCACCTAATTTATTTCTGCCTGAAGTCCCCACCTCCGAACTCTTACTGCAAAGTTAAGGTTACTGTTCCGGGACGGAAACTGGTCAGAAAGACAGCATGTGCCACTCTATACGATGTGTATGACTCTGTAAGTTACCTCCATCAACAATGATTAACTTAACAATGACTAGGTTGTAACTTAGCCAAGTCTTGAATTTCCCTTTGAACATGGATCAGATGTTTTATTTGGGGGGGGGGGGGATCAGATTTTTTAAATAAGGCAGGGCTCTAGTAAATAATAAACTTTTCTTTTTAAGGGACTTAAAGGAATTATTTTTTAAAATATAACATTAAGACAAGTGGGTATAAAATTCTGGGATCTCCGTCCATTACAAGCACTCACTCCCAGCCCCACGCATGGCCTGGACTAGCCTCCTCCTCCTGGGATTGGCCAGTTCTTTCAGGCAGGACCCAAACAGGAGCTCCATGTCCTGGAAGGAGCTCCATGTCCAGGAAGGGTGCTATGGAGAAAATGACGGGGACCTGGGGACACACCAATCATGGGGAGTGAGGAAGAGTCACAGAGTCTCCAGCTCATGCTAGGCGGTGGGGGGAAGCATGACTCCACCTCCGGCAGCCTCCACTTAGTTGACTTCCATATTGAACTTGAGGCCACGTTATTTCCTCTCCTCCCCAAGTGGTCATTCCAAGCTCAGTGGCCATACGTTTGGATCAGGGTCTGGGGAGAACAGCACACCTGTGACTGAAATTCCTGGGCCTGACCCCAGGCATTTTCTCCCTTCCGTGTTCAAAGAAAGTGAACCAATGGATCCTTCCTTCGCTCTGAAACCTGTTCCCCGCTCTCACCACGAGGGGGCGGGCTCCGATTTTGAAAGACTGGTCACCTGGGCCACCCTAGGCTAAATCATGGCCACAGGGAGGAAGGCACTGCAAGAGTGGACCCAGACCTGAATTTAAAGCTTGATGTCACCATTCAGAAGAGCCCTGAGCTGCTGGGAGTGGGGGAGGAAGGCAGGGCGATGCTGATTCCTGGGGAAGAGGCCCACAGCCTGCAGAGGCCGGAGGGTGAGGAAGCAGCCTGGGTAGTGGGCCACTTACCAAATGCACTGTGGTAGGCAGAGCTGTTGACTTTAATGCCGTTGCAGACGATCACCAAGTTGGTGGCCACCTCCGTGCCTTTGTCCGTGTGCACTTGGATGCGCTCTCGATACTCGTTAAGAGGCAGGTCCTCCAGGTTGCTCACCCGCTCACCTGTCAGGTGAGATCCGTGAGCAGGAGGCCATCAGGGTGTGGGCCCCACTAAGTGACCGTTCTGCTCCTGCTTCCTCCCTGCCCCCTGCCAGTCCACCCTGCTGCCCCAAGAAGCACGATGTGGACATCCAGCCACAACAGAGGATCCAAAGGGAGGAAAGTTCCCAGAAGCAGTGCGGGAAAGTGAAGCTGAGTTTCCCAAGAAGTTCTGGGAAAAGCTATTTGAGGACAACATCAGCCAAACCTCCCACAATGTCAGCCACACTGTCCTAACCAGGCACACCACTGACCAAGGTGAAAGCAAGAAAGGTCCAGAAGCTGGCCAATACTCTACGTTCTACGATACTCTTCCCCCAGTCTCAAAGTAAAGGTGGTTGCAGTACCGCACAGCCAGGTACAAGGAGACCAAGAGCCAGGAGGGGTCTGTCGAGAGCAGAAATGTCACCCCTCCCTGTGAAAACCGCAGGGGCTGAGCCCCATGAAGTTTGGTGGTCACAGCACTGGGTTAGGGCCTCAGTCTTCAAACAAGCTGGGAGGTGCTCTCCCCTCCTGCTCTCAACAAAGGTCACACTCCTCACTCATCACCCTCTGAATACAAAAGTACCCACTCTGTCTACCACAATCCCTTTAGGTGATTTTTTAAATCATTCAGCAAAGGGGCACCACCTCCACTGTGTCCAAAGCAACAGCCAGCACAGTGCTGCCTGCATGGCGTGGGCATCCTGTGAGTACCAGTCCAGCTGGAAAGTGGGGCTCAGCTGCTCAACCCCAAGACACAGAGGGCCCTCCAGCTGGGACAGTGGGAAGCCTCTGGGAGGGAGAGGGGCAGGGCGGGAAGGGAGCCTGCACGCACTCAGCAGCAGCTGCACGCCTTTCTGAAGCAGGATCTCCTTCGCTTCCTGCCGGACACAGGGCAGGAGCTCCTTGTCGGCAAGGGCCACTTGGGAGTGGATGAGAGTGACCTGGACAAACGACCACAGGGCAGAGAAGGAGAGGCTTAGAAACACATGAGTCTGTCTCCCTTCGCTCCTCCCCAGGTCAGCGAGGTCCCAGAGAAGTAATCCGCCCAATGCCGGAACCAGGTAACGCCAGCTGGGCTGGAGCCCACATCTAGTCTGAGACTCTTTCAATTCTT